AAAAGACAAAGTCAATGCTATCACTTGTTACATTAAATTTTGCTTTGATAGTCACTGTTGCAGTGAAAAAAGCCTTTATAATATTTAACCCCTTATCCCCCACCACAACTTGGAAGGTTGAGAGAAAAATGACTGAAAGAAGAAGAATTCTATTGTTGTATGAGCACATAAAGAACACAATATTTATTCTTGATTAATTGAACAAAGACAAGCAAACTTGAGATTCAAACATCAACAAGCCAAACAAAAGCGTACATATGCATGAATGAAAACGTCTTAGTTGGGATATAAAATGAATCATATCCCTATAATAAAAAACTACCTATGACTTAAGTAACTTTGATTTGAGAAATCAAAAAGCGTCCTAAGTTTATATACAATAAGTGATCTGAAACCTAATGTATGAACTAGCACTCAGCTATAAAGTTTCACTAAAAATTTACCACTTCATACTTGGAACAATTAAACGTGAAGATGAACCATATTATACAACGCTCCGATTACATTATCATGTCGTTTATTTCGACTTGTCTGGTAGAATAACACTAAATAAGAAATTTGAATCGATCACCTAGATACATTTAAGTTGTATTTGTAATTAAATTTTACGTTTGCATACGGCAATACGGTTTTAATTACGAAGTCTGTTAAGAATCAACTAGAGGCTTTCTAAACGAAAGTACATTAAGTGATGGGAAAAAACTCTTTTCCAATGACTTCAGATTAGTCAAAAATGCGGAAATAAGGAAGTATTTCATATACATGAAGTGAGATTTGAAAGCTGGACAACAAAAGCTAGGTACGGGAGAGATGCTGCTGTACTCCGTTCACAAAGGGAAAAATGCTCCTCACACTTAGAGAGTTGCTCTAATGCTGTCCAGAGAAGCACGAAATGCACTTGTAGGATGGGAATCTCATGGACCCAGGATAATCAAAGCATCATTCAAAACAAAGTAAGGGATCACAATGAATGTTATGCACTCACCAATGATAGCAACGATGACGACAAACATCAGTTCTACTCGAGGCTTCAATCAATCATGGCGAAGTGCTCAAGAAAAGACCTCACCATCTTGATGGGAGATCTAAACACTAAAGTTGGAGTGGACAACACAGGATATGAAGATAAAATTGGACGATGTTATATCCCCCGGTGAATTACGAATGTTAACTTTTAGGTCTATTTATCGACCAATGTATTATGCCTATTTCCTATTGTGCAATTGTTACGTAACTAAACTATTCATATTCGTGTTTCTCTTATCATGAGCTTTATTTTGATCTTTGATTTATTATCATACGATTCTTGAGTTATACTCAGTTATTGATTACTTTGGTTTGTATAAAAACCCAGTATGTTTTTAAATAATGATTCTTACCACTGAGGCTGTTATTGGTGTTTTGGACTTAACTGGTTGGGCTAGGCAGATCGCAGGACCGGTTAGCACTCTAGTCTGCTCGTACAGGTTTCGTGTCACTGTTCCAATCGATAATTCGCTGCTCCCTGTTTGGCGGGTCTTATCGCGTCACACATCAACTAGTCATCCAACTCGTCCACTCTACTACAAGACATAACAGACGACATGGACTGGGAGAGGGAAATGAAAATGGGGAGAGACTTGCAAACCTATGTGCATTCAACAAATTCGTTATAGGCGGCACAATATTCCCACACAAGCGCATACACTAAGCTACATGGATCTCACCAGACCACACCACAGAGAATCAGATAGGTCAAATCTGTATCAACAAAAAATTCCGAAGGACAGTGGGAGATGTGAGAACCATGAGGAGGGCTGAAATAGCTTCAGGTCACCACCTGATGGTTGCCAAGATGAAAGTGAATCTAAAGAAATACTAGATAACTGGGGGAACAGCATCACAAAGGTTCAATACAGCCTTCTTTCAAGATAATAACAAACTCAACGAATTCAAGATAACTCTCAACAACAGGTTCCAAGCTCTACAGGATCTACTTGGAGAACAAGAAACTACTATGAAGGTCAACTGGAAATGGATCAAAGAAGTATTAGCTTTAACGTGTCAAGAGGTTCTTGGTCGCAACAAACATCATCATAAGGAATGGATCTCTATGTGAACCCTCAACAAGATTCAAGAAACGAAGGACAAGAAACTAGCAATTGACAACAGTCGAACACGAGCAGAGAAAGTCAAGGCGCAAGCAGAGTACGCAGAAGCAAACAAGCAAGTGAGGAAGAGCATTAAAGCCGACAAGCAGAAATACATGGGAGAACTAGCAACGACAGCAAAAAAAGCTGCAAGAGAAGGGAATATGAGACAACTATATGATACAACGAAGAAATTGGCAGGGAAATATAGCGAACCGAAAAGACCAATCAAGGACACAGAAGGAAAGATAATCACGGAGATTGAATAACAGAAGAAAAGATGGGCAGAATACTTCGAGGAACTGCTGAACAGACCAGCTCCATTGAGTCCACAAGATATCGAAGCAGCACACACTGACATTCCTCTATCTGTCACTCCACCAACGATCGAAGAAGTCAAGATGTCCATCAGACAAATCAAAAGTGGGAAAGCAGCAGGACCTGACGATATACCAGCTGAAGCACTGAAGTCAGACATTGAAGTAACTGCAAACATGCTTCACCTTCTGTTCAAGAAGATTTGGGAAGACGAGCAAGTGCCAACGGACTGGGAAGAAGGATACCTCAAGATAACAAAGAAAGGATATCTGAACAAATGTGAGAATTACAGAGGCGTCACACTGTCGTCAGTTCCAGGAAAAGTTTTCAGAGGAGTGTTGATAAACCGGATGGAAGACGCAGTAGACGCTCGACTTCGAGATAAACAGGCTGGATTTCGTAAGGATCGGTCGTGCATAGACCAGATTGCGACAATACGGATCATTGTGGAACAATCAGTTGAATGGAACTCATTATCATGCGTCAACTTCATTGACTATGAGAAGACGTTTAACAGTGTGGACCGGAGAACATTATGGAAACTTCTTCGATACTATGGAGTTCCGGAAAGATCGTCAACATTATCCGGACTTATTTATTTATTTAGACACATAAATATTGGTGCGAAAAAACACCAGATAAATATGCGACACAAATCTCATTTGATTGGTGTGAGGGCTGTGATACTGCCAGGTGCCCAAACTGAAGCAGCTGGTTTTCTTAGGGGGCCACACCCCGAGCCTTTGACCTAAAAGTCTGATCCACAAGGCAACGTAAGGAGATGCAGTATCATGGTAGTCGGTGACCAACGATTGATTCATACGCCATTTGTTCCCTCATGATACTGGAGCCCATGTACATCATTGATTTGGAATCGGGGTTTTTCAAATCCCCTAGGTGGACTTTCCATGTCCACCAACCCGGTTAAAGCGCCGGACATTCGCTTTTCGTCCTCTCAATTCCGTAAACAACACCCCCGCCACGGGAAGGCAGTGAGTAGGACTTCTCTGCAGAGGCTATATACGCGTGGCCATGTGAAAGCATTTCGAAAGGGAGAGCGGACTCTCGACACTCTCGGCCATACCAGGGCATTTGGGGGCTACATTATCCGGAACTCATACAATGGACTACAGTGCAAAATCGTTCATATAGAACAGCTGACAGATGCATTTCCAGTAAGGAGCGGATTCAGACAAGGCTGTCTATTCTCCCTCTTCCTCTTTCTTCTGGCGATTGACGGGATTATGAAGACCTCGACATCTGAGGGGATGCACGCAATACAACGAACATCTCAGATGACCTGACCCTCCTATCTCATACACACGAACAAATGCAGACGAAGACAACAAATGTAGCAGCAGCCTCTGCAACGATAGGCCTCCTCATTCACAAAGGAAAAAGCAAGATTCTCAAATACAACACGGAGAACACTAACCCAATCACACTTGATGGAGAAACCCTAGAAGAGGTACCTGGGGAGTATCGTTGATAAACAAGGAGGATCGGATGCAGATGTAAAGGAGAGGATTGGAAAAGCATGGACAACATTTCTACAATTGAACAACATAAGGAACTCAAAAGAACAGTCAACTATTTTCAAAGTGGGAATCTTCAATACGAACGTCAAGACAATCCTACTGTACGGATCTGAAACGTGGAGAACTACCAAATCTATCGTCAAGAAGGTACAAGTATTTATAAACAGTTGTCTACGCAAAATACCCAACATTCACTGGCCGGATACTATCAGCGACAGCCTTCTGTGGGAGAGGACAAACTAGCCTCCGTCTTAAGAGGAAATTGGAAGATGTTGGAAGTGGATCGGACATACATTAAGGAAATCACCAATGTATATTACAAGGCAATGCCTTACTTGGAATCCGGAAAGGAAGCGGAAAAGAGGAAGGCCAAAGAACACATTACGCCGGGAAATAGAAGCAGATAAGAAAAGGATGAATAACAACTGGAACGAACTGGAAAGGATTGCCCAAGACAGGGTTGGATGGAGAATGCTGGTGAGCGGCCTATGCTCCTCCACAAGGGGTAACAGGCGTAAGTAAGTAAGCTAGCAATGCTGTTAACTATCGTACAATTAGAATGAGTATTTGTCTGGTGAACAAATGTAAATGACGGTAACAATAAAATACTAGCAAACTTGACTTACCTAATTCAGGAGGCAGTACAGCAAGGCGATTGTTCTGAAGATGGAGCTCCTTTAATCTGGTAAGTAAACATATATCTGCTGGTAGAGACACAAGGTCATTGTCACGAAGAGCCAACTAATTTGTTGATTCAATTAAAATGTTAAGATCTTACTATTTCCAAATTCGAAAGTTTTCCAATGCCAGGTGGAATGCGTTCAAAATCATTATCTGACAAGTATAGAGCTCTAAGTGTTACCAAGTTGAAGAAGTTATCAGGTAAACTTGTTTCTTTTAAGTTATTATACGTCAAATCGAGAATTTCGAGAGAAGGAAAAGCACCAAAACCGCGAGGTAAAACAGACAGCTTGTTCATTCTCGTAATTTTAAGAAAAATGACACAAAATAGTACCTACCCAAGATTTAAGGATCGTAAATATGTTAACTCCACAATCTTTGGAGAGATATCCTTTAAAAAATACATTACTAGTAAAAGTTGGTGTCTACCACAATACAATTATTAAAGAGATTCAGGTGTTCCAAAGTTTGCAAAGATGAAATCTCTTGAGGTATTTCTGAACCGTAAATGGAAATTAATGGAACATATCAACGCACCCGTTATTTTATTGTGAGACAGAGTTAGGGAACGTAAATGATCCAACTTTGCTATAAAAAACAATCAGCGAACCCAAAAAGTAAGTTACCAAGCTCTGGGATGTAAGGAATTGAAGTCAGATCTTTACGGATGGCCTCTAATGCATGCTCCTTTCCTTCACGTACGTCTTCTATCGTTTTGCGAAAACCCTTTAGTTTTCCAGATATCATAGTACCGAATACTATTACGATAACAGCATAACCAGCGACCTGAACACATAACAAGATGTTTAAAAAGTGCTGATAAAGTAAATCACGGAATGGGGTGCGCCCCTCTTTTTTAGATGAACATAAACATGATAGGGACAAAACTGAAAGAGATATAAGAACTAATATGGTAGAGTATTTGTCTAAGTCTCTATACACCTTCAACAGTATGCTTTGGAACCAAAATAATGGAAAGCATGTTCATTAGATTAGCAAAAATAGTAGAAATAACATCAAAATCCAGGAACAATATAACAACATACAGTAAGGTGAACGAATTTTGATCACCAATAGACACTAGATTACTTGACAAAACTGAATTATGTCTTGGAGCGCATCTGTAAACTTAACGATTTCGAGCTACATACACGAACGAACCTTGGAAAATGATACGTACATATTAATATATTAACATATTTGTAATACCTCAATGTGTAAAAAAATTAGATTTTCGACGTTTCATGACTCCGTGTAAGCCACTTCTTCGAAAGTAAATGACCAATTCATTTAGTTATTTGAATTTATCTATAACAATCTACCCAATACTCAATTTACTAAAAATAATTAAGTAAGCCATGGCAATGATACTTAGATACGTTCCTATAGTTGATAGAGTATAAGAAAATACATCGCGACAAGATGGTGACAAGTGCTAAAAACTCATCCCCCTCGATATTACATTTGGATGTGTAAAGAATGATGAAATACGATAGTTTCACCAACAAGTTGCCAGCCTGCTCTAAGGACGTTTGCAGCAAGTACATCTCTTACACTATCTTCAACAGTTCGTCTAAATTCTTGAATTTCGATGCCAAAAGTCGGATCGGCAAAAAATACAAGAGTACCTGATACTCACAGGTATGAAGACCTGTTTAGTGGCTCGAAAGGTGTCAATCAACATAATAATAAGGAGGTCAGCTCCACTAAATTCGATCAAGTGTCCGAGCGGTAGGAAAAATCAAGTTGTTTAGTTTATTAACATTTTCCATTATCTTATTTTTGAAGAGCTTTGAATTCGCGTTTTGTATATAACAGCAGCTACAGAGATTTATGTAACTAACTACTGGCTGAATTCCTGAGGTTCAAAACACAATTATCACACATAACAGGTGAAATTTGGAGAAATACTTAAATAACTTCCCATCTACCTACATCTTCCACAAATCTTATTACTTTTGTTTACACACTGCTTTGTCAAGCTGTGGTGTTATAATAAGTCATAGTAACTATTTCCACAAGTTCTGGAATAACAGGAGTGCCAGAATACACATTAACAATGGTAAGAGCTACAACCACTGAGACGCCGCGATTCTAACTACTTCTATCACAACCACAGGCGTTATGGAAATTGCGGAAAAGTGGAACATAAGGAAAATCATGTTAAAAACAATACATTTCAATCAAGTACCTAAATAAATTGTGAAAACTTTTGGAGAGAAATCCATTTTAGGCGCCTTAGAGCAACGAATCAAGAGATCCCACACCATTTTATTATGAGATGGTTGAATGTCACACAAAATAAATCTATATAGATAATAACAACTGCTAGTCAAACTTCAAAATGGAATAAGCCTAAAGTACACGGCCGAGTGACCTTGAAGCGTGAACTGTTAGCCAACCAAGAAACGGAATAGATAACTAAATACATTATGCTAGGAGTTAGGATTAGGGTATGACTAGGATCCCAGTATGCGACTAAAACACTGAAATCAAACCCCAAACCCTAACACTGATTCCTAATGCTGCTTAATTCTCATTTATCATTGGTTCGGGTTCGTACTTTAGGACAGTCACAACTAATGGTTGTCAGATTTCTTTGAGCTTTCGATTCAGTGTGATTATTAGGTATTCAGAAAACAACAGCCAAAAATTACATGGACAGAAGTCCATCAGGTTTAACCAGAACCACTGACTCCTAACTTACATCTACCCCAAAATCACGATCAAAATTCCCACGACTAGACTTTTTGAAAACTGCGAAATCCAATGTCGAATACCACCGAGGTGGGCAAATTTACCTCACTATTATAAAGAAGCAGCTTGAACTAAGTAAGAAAACGTGAGGAACCTGAGCTTTTATTCATTGAGGCACTATAAGTGAACCATCAACGTTATCATTGAAAATCTGTCCAGTGGAGAGTTTGTTTGCAGCTATCAGGTCAAATTTTAGTAATAATGCCTATCTTTTGGTATCAAGATTTTCATTTTTTTCGGTTTAGAGGATAAATTTTGCCGTCTTTTTTCACCCAACAAAAAATAAGTGGTCCATTTAAGACATGGTTATGACAGACTCACACATTTATTTATGCTTGAGAATGAAATCCGACGTAATAACTTCAACAAGTGATACTAAGACGTATTCGCCAGATTCATCTCTAGTTCAAACAACAGGCGTTTCAAGAAATGTTAATGCGAAAAATGCTGTTCTCCAAGGTCTCAGGTAATGCTAGCCTTCTGATCACAGTTAAGAAATTTCCAGATGAACCACAAACTATAGACTGCACGGTGCAGTTGACAGATCATGAGTGTATACTGGGAATCACCACAGATCCATCCTCTCATCTAAATGATACAATTACGATATACACCCAATATACAGTAGGTGATGGGTGAACTAGTGTATGGAAGGCTCCAAAGAGAAACACAAAATCCGTAGAGAATGGTGGATAAATGCCAGGGAACGTCGAATGGTGTGATTCGCTGGATGCACCCTAAAAGTCCTACATAGCATTCCAATAACCCAGAATTTTATGGCAACGTACGCTGCGAAATTAAAGCTTGTCCTATCAATGCTTAAGAACGTAGTGGGCACCGAAAATCTCCATTTCATCTCCATTAAACAAAAGTGGTTGACGTCAAAAGTAAATTGCAACAACGTTGAGTCACTTGGATTCTTATTTTTCAGGAGAACACACTGGACCCAAGAGGAAGTGGAGCAATATTATGCTCGGCTAACGCCTTAGCATATGAGCTGTAGAGATAGTATGACATGAATTAGTGCAATATGAACTGTCATGATGCCAGTTAAGATTATGTAGCTGAAAATGAATCTTCAAAATTAATAGCTCTGTAAGTTTTCGACATTGGATTCTGACCACCTTAGTTTTAATTGACTCATTTAGCTGAAGGCGCTCGGTCATGCATCCACACCAGACCACGTTTGGGAATGGCGTGCGCAACATCTCCTGCGATCACTAGACAGATTAGATCAGTCACTCCTCGATTTATTGATAACCCATGAAATATATCTTCCAACCTCCTCACTTCTGACATTTGACTTTACTGGTTGGGCGCGATTCAATTATAGGTGTTACTGGTAAAGTGTTGTCAAACCACAATACCTGTGGTATCTTCAATTGAAATCTTAGAAGACGGAACTAGTTAGTGTGTCATGTAGTCCTGAATTTGTAACTGATATTTTCGTCTCAAATAAACTGCGATCCGAGTCAAACAGTAGCTAAAACCATATAGTAAGTGAATTAACTTCATATCTTCTAAACCGAGGCAACCTCAAGACAGAGCCACTAGATTTAATACGGCACATTAAAGGAAATATCGTATATGACCTGCAGAACTCATCTTCTATCTGACACAGTATCCGCTCATGGAAATGATGTTCTTTAAATGAAGTACCTTCCATCGATAGTTCGAAGTGATAATACAATTCTTATATTCAAGTTTATTGCTGATATTATTTTGATTCATAAAGAGCCTATGGGTATATAAGTTTTGTGGAGAAACCATTTTGAGTTTCTTCACAAGTACAATCACACAAATTTCAATAATGTCAGCACAATATTTACCGTATTGAAAAGAATATTCTGTGAAATAAAGGGAATGCTGAATTAACATAAAAGAAGGAAAGGGAGAAAATAAAGGAATAAAAATGAAGGAAACGCGAAATACGTAAATAGTTTAACTAGCATGTTTGCGAACACACAACAAGGATAAATGTATCTGACAAGTAGTTCAATCGTCCCTGTAACGGGAAGAAGACGGTGAAAATTACTCCATAGCATTTTCCTGGACAGTATTGTCATTTGTTTGCTTCTCCCTGTCGTGTACATTAACCTTTACTCAGTTCACTTTTAACCACACTTTGTGTTCCTCAGTCCGCTTCGTCCGAGCTTTTAATTATGCGACCCCGGTTGAATGCCTACCTCTTGTTACTAAATTTTATGTTGTACGTTGCCCAACTGTTGTCAATAAGGTCATGTTTGACCAGGCTCAAGGTGGTGGCATGATTCAGTGTGCGATTATGAACCTTTGAGATGAAATGGAGATTTTCGGTGCCCACTACGTTCTTAAGCATTGATAGGACAAGCTTTAATTTCGCAGCGTACGTTGCCATAAAATTCTGGGTTATTGGAATGCTATGTAGGACTTTTAGGGTGCATCCAGCGAATCACACCATTCGACGTTCCCTGGCATTTATCCACCATTCTCTACGGATTTTGTGTTTCTCTTTGGAGCCTTCCATACACTAGTTCACCCATCACCTACTGTATATTGGGTGTATATCGTAATTGTATCATTTAGATGAGAGGATGGATCTGTGGTGATTCCCAGTATACACTCATGATCTGTCAACTGCACCGTGCAGTCTATAGTTTGTGGTTCATCTGGAAATTTCTTAACTGTGATCAGAAGGCTAGCATTACCTGAGACCTTGGAGAACAGCATTTTTCGCATTAACATTTCTTGAAACGCCTGTTGTTTGAACTAGAGATGAATCTGGCGAATACGTCTTAGTATCACTTGTTGAAGTTATTACGTCGGATTTCATTCTCAAGCATAAATAAATGTGTGAGTCTGTCATAACCATGTCTTAAATGGACCACTTATTTTTTGTTGGGTGAAAAAAGACGGCAAAATTTATCCTCTAAACCGAAAAAAATGAAAATCTTGATACCAAAAGATAGGCATTATTACTAAAATTTGACCTGATAGCTGCAAACAAACTCTCCACTGGACAGATTTTCAATGATAACGTTGATGGTTCACTTATAGTGCCTCAATGAATAAAAGCTCAGGTTCCTCACGTTTTCTTACTTAGTTCAAGCTGCTTCTTTATAATAGTGAGGTAAATTTGCCCACCTCGGTGGTATTCGACATTGGATTTCGCAGTTTTCAAAAAGTCTAGTCGTGGGAATTTTGATCGTGATTTTGGGGTAGATGTAAGTTAGGAGTCAGTGGTTCTGGTTAAACCTGATGGACTTCTGTCCATGTAATTTTTGGCTGTTGTTTTCTGAATACCTAATAATCACACTGAATCGAAAGCTCAAAGAAATCTGACAACCATTAGTTGTGACTGTCCTAAAGTACGAACCCGAACCAATGATAAATGAGAATTAAGCAGCATTAGGAATCAGTGTTAGGGTTTGGGGTTTGATTTCAGTGTTTTAGTCGCATACTGGGATCCTAGTCATACCCTAATCCTAACTCCTAGCATAATGTATTTAGTTATCTATTCCGTTTCTTGGTTGGCTAACAGTTCACGCTTCAAGGTCACTCGGCCGTGTACTTTAGGCTTATTCCATTTTGAAGTTTGACTAGCAGTTGTTATTATCTATATAGATTTATTTTGTGTGACATTCAACCATCTCATAATAAAATGGTGTGGGATCTCTTGATTCGTTGCTCTAAGGCGCCTAAAATGGATTTCTCTCCAAAAGTTTTCACGGTTTATAACGGAAATAAGTTGAGGTGTCTTAATGTGTCTTCATAAGATAGGCTAGATAAGCCTTTTACCATTTTCGTCCCACGGCGTTGGACTCGTTCCAGCATATCCGCCTCATATTTGAAACAAGGACTCGCTGCTTGAATCCCATATTCCAAATGTGGCCGTACGAAAGTTGGGTATAATAATCTAAACATTTCCCCATCCAGATACCGGAAAGATCTACGAATAGACCATAATGCCCTATAGCCTTTTGCAGCAGCAGCCTTACAGTGACTGGTTGTTTTGAGATCATTACTTAGTATGACTCCTAAATCTTTATAGTTTCTTACTTTGGACAACACTAGTCCACATATTGTGTAGTTATTTAATTGCATCTGGACTATGTTGGACTATGTTTGCAATCCCTAACCAATTGTTTTTCGTATGACCGTCTAGTCCTACTAATTAACGCTTTACAATTATTTCTAATCTTACGATAACTAGATCTGTACTGTTCTAAGCCAGTAGGGATGAACATGTTCCAGTGTTTTTTTCTACGCCTAAGGAGTTTCTTAACTTCCTTATTTATCCACGGTGGACTATTGTTCGGTCTACGTGGCACCAAGTATGGTATAAACGGGGACGTGACTGCACTAAACTTGCCTTTACATACAGACCACGCCTCATCAACTGATGAGCTAGTATCTACTGACCAATCTATCTTAGTAGCACAATCCTGAATTTCTGGTATGTTAGCTCTCCATATGTTTGGGCGAGGCTTAATCTGATCGTAATCACATAATCATCACACACTGTATATCATCTTGCGAAACGTTTTTTGGTGTGAATTATCGCACATTATGTCACATTTTTCGGCACATTTTCTGTGTTGATTTCAGCAACCTATAGTCACTCTTTTTGAAACAGTTTGTTTTGACCTTATACTTAATTTCATACTTGAAACTAACCATTTGCCGTTAGGCATAAATCTGAACAATTAGTCCACTGCGAATCAGGATATTGAGTCGATGGTATGTCTTACGAATACACTCATTTTCAACTAATCTCTTTTAGCTATTTGTCCAAAATTCACATGATTGTCACTTTTCACAAATTGACGGAGTTTTCGATAACACTTCATATGTACCAGCAGGATTACTAAATTCTCACACGGTTAAGTAATAATGAGGTCGAGATTATCTTCCCGCAACTAAATAAACCGTGTCAAACTTAACAAACTAACTCAAACACTAGTTGGAATTCTCCTTCTTTATGTTTATATTTCTGTTTTTTCAGTCAGCTTACTTATGCAGATATAGTTAGAAACCAGTTCATACGAACAGCTTACCCGTATAAAAGTTAACTGACTTTACCATTTAAACCAAAAATAATACCGATATCAACATTTCTACAATAGTGATTGTTTCTGTATTTCTAGACACAAAATACTTGCATTACCTATAAGTTAAGCTATTAACCAACAGCTTTTGCGACGCATGTTGTAATCTCACTTTGTTTAACTGTCGAATAATCTTCCTTTTGCTCGTGTTAAGGACCACACCACGATGGTTGGAATTATTACATGTATTTCCTAATCAATTGCTGCCGTCTTTTTTTCTGATTTATCTTTCAGCTTGTCAATAAGCGGAGGCTTTTTATTATCATCGGCAACCCCTGGTGAGCGACAACTTCACTAAAGTTGGTATCGAACCAATGTTACCTTGGTCCTGGTGGGGGAGTAGTGTGGTGACATTGGACCCCAACCAAACAACCTTTGAAGCCAAACGTATAACGACTGGAAAGATTTATACTCAGCAATTGACACGAAGAGAAAGTTGACGATGGGGAACGCGGGAACATTCAGTTCAATAAATCGGATGGCATGGTTTAGCCCCACAGATTTGGTCATTCAGTAAAATTGTCTTTACTAACATTAAATGAATCATCCTGTCTTTGGCCTAAATGTGTTTTTTACAAACCACAGACATCATATTGTTAATTGCTACGATACGATGAATTGATGAAGACAGTGATATGACTTCCACGTAAGATCTTAGAGATTAGGTAGTCACATCATGACATATTTAAAATTTTTGTATTATTATAATAGTAGTAATATCAAAGTAGGCCATAATTTCAAATAATAATAGGTTAAATTTAAGCAGTCGGTCATAATACGGGAGCTTTGCTATTCCGGGGATCATTTTAGTTGCTGCTCTATGAACCTTTTCCAACAGCTCCTATTTTGGACAGAAGCTAGAAACTTGTATTCAGTGCGCGAGTTTAGGAGGAACGAATACAAAAGGTTTCAGCGTTGACATGACTAAGGGCCCTGAGCATTGTCCATAAGGTTTTCGAACCTTTAGCGGCTATTGCACAGCATTGTAAAGTAGTTTTCAAGTCCTGGTTAACTATGACTACTAATTCATTGTGTGTCTGGATAAAAGAAAGTTCAATTTATTCACGGTATATGTATCTGCACCTTGATGACAAATGTACATCTTAATACACTTGACAGTACTTATCGGCAACTGCCAAGTTTGACGCCATTCAGGTGATTTCTTCAGGTTATTTTGAAGTTCTAAGCTATCACCTTTACTTCTATTGCTCTCCATATTTCGATATCATCAGCACATAAAAAGACAGATGACGATAGGAGACTAAGAAAGTCATTTACATACGAGAGGAATAACATTGGCTTCAAAACTGTATCCTGAATCCCTCCATCACACACAATTTTCGAGCTAGGCAATAATTAGTTCAGCTCAACTATTTTTCGGCACATTATTAAATTGCCGTCAACCCCGATATTTCTTAACTTATATAACAGCTGGCCGTGAGGAACTTTGTCAGATGCTTTTCTGAAGTCCGTGTAGGCCACGTCTATAGGTAACTTTTGTTGTTTAAGGACGTGCCGGAATTCATTAATCACCAATAAGTTATCGAGATAGGGATAACCTGCGTCCAAAGCAATGATGCATGTCAGAAAGAATTCGATTTTCGTCGAGATAACTAAACAAATCCTTATAAGTAATGTTTTCCAACATTTCAACAAGCGCGCCTGTTGGGCTTACAGGTCAGTAGTTCTCAGGTTTATTTTTCGAGGCTGTATTAAAGACAGGACTTACCATGGGGTTCTTCCGGTCTTTTGGCAATCGACCCTTGATGTAGTCCGAAAGGATGTGAGGTACAGTGGCTTTTATGTACAGGTTTCTGAACACAATCCAAGCCTTTTCTATGGGAGACCCCAGCTCTATTGACCAAACAACTAAGGATGTTGAGTGTGTTGAGTGGGTTGTGCTGACACATCCTCGTTATTGACAACCACATGATAATCAAATACTGGAACTGCACGATCACTTTTACCTAGTGGTGGCATATAATGGAGGTTTGTGATGTCATCCTCATAATCTGTCAATATGAGATCTAGTAAGAATGATTTGGAATCTGGATCGAACTGTGACAAAAACGCCTCTCAAGCAAACCTTGCACTGGTAACATTGAAGCGCATTTTTGGCTAGTTTGACGGTAGAACCTTCCATATAATCTTCAACAGTTTTATTCGTCCCCACTTGGAGTACGGAAACATGGTATTTCCTCCCTCCCTCCAAAAGGATAAGGTCACTCTGGAACGTATACAACGTCGAGCCACGAAATCAGTTCGGGGTCTCAAATTCAAACCTTATGAAGAGCGCCTCAAATCACTTAACCTTTACCCGTTAGAGTATAGGCGTCTTAGAGGTGATCTTATGACTTATAGTATCCTTAATACTTCTGGTCATCCCCTTAAACAACTTCTTAAGCTTAGTCATAACACTAACCTGGGAGGTAACGCCCAGAAATTGGAGACCCTACATAGCAGAACAGACTTCAGACACAACTTTTACTCCGTTAGAGTTGTCAAGTGCTGGAATTCGCTGCCGACTGAGCTAGTCCAAGCGACCTCCCAGGAGTCCTTTAAGAGAAAACTTGACTTATTCTTAAGGACTAAGGATAACATATTATTATGATTTACCAAATTCTTTTTTTCCCTCTATTATCGTTCATATACCTAGGTTCTTGCCTGAAGGTATTGGTGATCCACTGCTACTAGACACGGAAGCCCGTTAAGCAAAAGCTTCTTCTATTCCGTCCTCAACCATTTGAACCATTTGAACTACTTTTCCAAAGGATTTATGAACCAGTATAATGTTACAACTTGAAACTGATTATTTTTCACAAGCATTCATTCAAATAGTGTCTAACTTACTCTCAATTATTTTAATAGTTGAGATCATGAATCAGTTGAAGCCAGACCACCAGTGGTGTAAAGGTTAAGCGCTCGCGAGCGAAACTGATAGGTTGGGTTCGAATCTCGCGAGGCCGGATTGTGGCTGATCTCTGCCGAGGAGTTCCACAATAGGGCAAAATGGCTGCCCAGTGCTTCCAGGTTTTTCATGGTGGTCTAGCTTCAATCGATCTCAACCATTAAAATTACTATAATATCCATAAAACCCCTTCCGATACTGGTAGCAGGTTGTAAAATCAGAATACTTGTATCTTCACTCTCATTATGTTTCCGAAATCATAACAAAATGTTTTGCCACAGATTATCTTTTATCATTTAAAGCTCCCGAAACTGAGGATAAAGTATATTTCATTCGTTACTTCCAACTGAGTGAAATTGAGGGTTGAAGGTTGTTATATACAATCGCTAATTGCTCGCAAGATAACCGGCGATTTTTCAAACGGTTGGTTGAGATTGTTGTTGGCGTTAGTAGTTTGTACCTAGTCCTGAATTGACCCAGTTCACACACATCAATGTTTCGTGATTACAGTAAGCCTGATATTTTCTGTCTTACTGTTGCATTATTCACATCACTTACTACATAAAAAGAACAGTGATGTTTTTCCTCGCTGAGTTAATTCTATTTTGATTGTTCATTAAGGATCAAGACTGTTTTCTTTTTAATTCATTTCAGTTAAAGTACTCGCCAAGAGTATTGTTTTTCGGAAGTAATTTATCGTCGGTACTTCTGAGTACGTTGGTTCTTTCTGTATTTATTTGCACATTTGGTTCTGACACTGAAGTTTCTCACTTTTTCTGATCATCAGTTTATCTTGTCTCTGGGTATTATTTGTATCTAGTTTCTTTCTGAGAATGTCATATTCGTAACTAAACAGTCCAAAAAAGCAATTGCCAACGCCCAGATTTTCGAAACCCTGAGGAAAGTGGCATGCAATGCGATGAGTAAAAAGAATGGTACCACAAAGTCTGCACGAATCTAACGCTTTCAAACAGTTTAGTAAAATAGTTGCGTATGGTTGTGTCAATAGTGCTGCTCGGACACAAATAGCTTTCCAGCCAAAGCTGTTGCAACGGTGAACGCTGCTAAAACCAGTGTATGCAAGTGTAGTTGAGACACATCAAATAGTACTCGCTCGGCCGATAAATGAGTCGATGTGGAGTTGCCTAAAAGCTCAGAGTCGGTTGATTTACATGGGCCAACGGAGGAAGAACGGCTTACAAAGAAGTCTATTAGAAATAAAAGCTCAATAAAGGTAGTTTCTACTGTCTCTCACCCTCAAAACGTCAGCGAGCAGAAAACATCTAGGAAACCTAATCGTAAGGCTAGGTCTGTTTCTATCAGGAAGAACAAAAACCTGATTACCTAAGTCATCAACAATCATCCAGAATCCCATAGTGTGTGCAACGCGACTGTGATTGCTACTACAATGGATATTTATGAATGGGTACAGATTAAGGATAAGAAACAACCTAGTGTTGCTAAAGAAGAGCCAGACCTCAAAACAGTAGCTGATAAATTTAAGACTGATAATAGCGACAGGTCATTTGTCTTTCGTATTGTGAATGATAGTGAAGGCATATAGCTCAGAACTTGTTTTGAGCCTGACATCGAGTTGATAAAAGAGCTACTAAACCGGTTAACGCCTCAAAATAACTCTGAAGTCACCTTGCTGAAGGTTTATAGACTAGGTAGCCAAAAAGACATGAAACAGAATCAAACCAGGCTGTTAAAAGTAGTATTGAAATCTCCCGATGAAAGGGACTTAGTATTACAGAAATGGACATAAACCATGGGGATCTGGAGGTTTTGTCTGTAGACACATACCTCCTTCCTGTACTATATCCTTATATACAAGCTATAATTTATATACTACTACCACCACTAAATTAATTACTTCTATGAACCCGGTGTTGATCTTGTTGTGCTAACGAGGTATGGCAACTTGGACCGATGCATAAATGTACCTGGTCCTACGTTGTAGCTGACTGACTGGCTGACTGTTCGCGGACTGTCTAAAAGGACAAGGAGCTGCAGAAGACCTAAAACTAAGGTTAGATGCTGGTGAGGACCTTAGAATTGTAAAGTTTTGTGTGATGAGGCTTCGACGGAGATAGACTCTACCAAGCCGGATGTAATCGCAGTCACAGAAACGTGGTTGACGTGCTCTGTAGACAGTAGGGGACTTGATTTTTAAATCTTTTCCCTTTTTTGTTTTGTTACCTGTTAGTGAGATATAGATTGGATTAAGCATGTTTTATGCATGATGGTGTTGCTGCGCGCTGATTGGTTAATTTTTAAACCGATCAGCCTGGGCATATTATTGCAGAAAAATCTATAAGCTTCTTATGTATATACTATAAATATATGAACATTATTTAAACTATTGGTTGCTGTTCACTTGTTATTATTATTTTGAGTACAATTTCATTCCTGTTCAACGTGTTCTGATTTTGGGGTCTTGTCGAGTGTCATCGTATAAGAATACTAAGCTGGGACATTTATTAGCAAAAATACAGTTATAACATTACCTGAGCTACTACAGATTTTGGTCACTTAGCAATTTTGTCCAGGGAGGTTGCATTCTTTATTCATGTGTAGTGACTGATGATACAGCTCAGAGTTTGTACAAAACGTATTTATGGGCTATCGACTTAGTTGGTTTCTTTTCCCACTTGTATTTTGTTCTGGTCTAACCTGTGTACATAATTCATGTTTTGACCAAGTATCAAATAGTTATTTTAGAAAATCGTACTATATTTTCGATATTTCCAGCAAGTTAGCGTAATCCAGTGTTTCAAAGCTAAACTTTGGGGAATGACTATTCAAAATGAAGTTTTTTGCCAGTCCTATGGTTGTCTCGATCTTAACCAGAACCTATCTAAAGGCGGATGTCATGAATCACCGTCTCAATCTTTTAAGTACCGTTCCACACCAAACCTATTAGCTCTGTCTAAAAGTCAGATGGAGAGAATTCAGGTAATTCTTTTTCAATCAATATTCCAATTATTAGATCATATCTGAGTTTTATGACGGTGAAGAAGTACTTGTAAGTGATCTGAAAACTGTCGTTAAGGTAGAAGTCGAACATATTTTATTCAGCTGGTTCTAGGTGTACAAATATCCATTAGAAAAATTGGGTATACTTACCTCAACGGAAATAAATCATCTGTTTTACTCAATAGAAGCTATTATACCAGTTTTTGAAGGTTAGTTAGTTTTAATTATGTTGTTCCTTTGTTTTAGGATTAGCAAATAGTCTTTCATCAGAACTGAATAAATATTTCAGCATACCATATATAGGAATGATCTTATATCTGTGGGTAAGCTTGCTAAGTTTCTGTATTTTTGACAAAAATAAATAGAGTTTACTTAACTCATTATTTTAGAACTTTTCTGACATGTTTAATTAAAAAGTTTTGTTTGCGAAGTGACAGTATTGGAAATGAGGGTCAATATTAGAGTCAATCATAGTTCTTACGTTAAGAGAAGAACCCCGACCGTTGCTGCTACCTTGACGTGGTGGTCGGGCTTGCCTATCGTGATGATCCAATCGAGCTATGCTGGCTGGAACAATCGTTCCTCAAGGTCCTACCATGCCAGACAGGTCGGTTGAAGAGCGGTGAGACTAAAAGCAGCAATCCCAAGGTCCGAAGGCGAAGTCGTACTGCTGACTGTACAGAGGTGTGACGGCAGTAAGGTGTTTCCTTCAGACAACCAGCATGACAGCGATGCTGCCTTCCCACAAGGAGGGGTGGGGTTAGAAAAGGTCGACCCTAAAAATGCACACCTCACCTTATCCCACGGATTTCCGTCTCCGGCGGTAAGGACTTTTGAAGAACGGAGCTAACACTTCAAAAATCCCCCACAAAAAGGCCGTGCGTGACCGGCCTCAAGCAGTTGTCCCTTGGGCACTGCGGTCACGCTCCCAGGTCGTTAAGACCAACACTAATCCAACTTCTTTTTCAGGTCCCTCAAGAAATACCCTTCCACGGTGTGGGCAGCCGGGAAGTGATACTAGCCCTCATACCCTTAACTGCACACGAGACCAAGTTGGTCGCTTTCAAATCCTTCCTACACCTAATAACTCTGTTATCTCCAGGACTAACCCTTCCCACGTCCTTTTATCACCTCGCACCGCTAGGGCAAACGATTCCAGTACACAGACCAGATATTCACCCTACGTCAGGTCCTAGAACATAGACACAAATTCAGACGTCCCTTAATAGTAGTATTTCTTGACCTTAAGGCGGCATTTGACTCCGTTGATCGTGAGGTTCTATGGCAGTGTTTGCCAGTGAAAGGAGTACCAAAGAAGTACATTAACCTCATAAAGGCTCTCTACTCGAACACAACTGGTCGAGTAAGAGCCTATGGCGAACTGTCATCAGAACTGATTTCCACAAGTGGCGTTCGTCAGGGCTGTCCACTCTCCCCATTCTTGTTTAACTTTGTCATTGACATACTTTTGGAGATAGCACTTTCATCAGCTAAACCTCCAGGAGTTGAACTTTTACCGGGAGATTCACTTGTTGACCTAGAATACGCCGACGACATAGTTTTATTCGGTGAAGACGCTGACAACATGCAGAGTCTTCTGACCACTATAAGCAACTATGCAGGCATGTTCGGGATGCGATTCTCTCCCTCGAAGTGCCAAATGTTACTTCAGGATTGGGTTGCAGCGACACCTGAACTAATGATAAGGAGTGAAGTAGTTGAGCGTGTAGACCACTTCACTTATCTTGGGAGTCGCATCAGCCCTTGTGGTCTGGTATGTGACGAAATCTCAGCACGGATACAGAAGGCTCGTCTAGCTTTCGCCAACTTGCGTCATTTATGGCGTAGGCGAGATATCCGTCTAGCAACCAAAGGACGGGTTTACTGTGCAGCAGTTCGCTCCGTTCTACTTTATGGCAGTGAAACATGGCCGATAAGAGTAGAGGATATTCGTAGGCTACTAGTGTTCGATCATAGATGTCTTCGAAGCATTGCTCGTATATCCTGGGACCACCGGGTAAGTAATGCAGATGTTAGGAAACGGGTACTAGGTAAGGAAGGCAAATCGATTGATGAAGTAGTGAAACTTGATCAGTTGAGATGGCTGGGACATGTGTTACGTATGCCCAACCACCGACTGCCCCGACGTGCAATGTTTCATGGTGTAGGAGTAGGTTGGAAGAAAGCTAGGGGTGGCCAGACCAAAACGTGGCACAAATCATTGAAGTCACTGACAGGTGGACTGGGCCTTGTTGGTAGGTGTAAACTACCTGGTTGGGATTCGCGAGATGACAGCAACCGATGGTTAGAGACCTTGAATGAGATGGCTCAAAATCGTTTGCAATGGCGAAGGTGCATCCACTCTTTGTGTTCTAGCAAGTTCTAATCTTCTGAATTTTTCAAACCTATATCTTTTTCTCTTTCCAAATTTATTTCACTGTACTAAACTCCTTCAATAATTTCTTCAAACCCTAATCTTTTGGATTTCTGATTATACTCCTACTACTTCTGCCAATATGGGATTTGAATCGACAACTGCATCTCTGTGCTAATGTGGTATGGCTACTCGAACTGATGTACGTAAATACGAATTTCTACGTTGTGACTGACTGACTGACGTTAAGAGAAGAAATACCTACTGAAATGTTTAGATATAGTTGTTGGAAGAAAGAGGAGGTACTAGAACTTTCTGTAAGTCAATTGATGGAGTAGGACTTTACTATTTTTTAATCACTGTTGTTGGGTTTTCCATAAACAACTATTCCTATTGTAACATTTGTACATGATATGCTCTATTTGGTGTTCTTATATTTTGTTAACTACCATTATTTTAAATTAATGGATTTCGATGTGACAGCTTTTGCGTATGCTTCAAACTAACACTTCTGCACAAATCCTGAACTAGATAAAAAAATAGAACATTGGCTAGGCGAATGAGGCATGTTGAAGTATCTCAGTTAGTTTTTTGAATTTTATATTCTGTAGAAACTGAGATTATCGTTCTACTAAATATTTTTTCGTATTAGTTAGGTCTCGAAGTAATAACAAAGCCACAACCTGATTACCTTAATTATGGGCGTAAATGTTATCCATACCCAACACAGAATTATGTCCAATCTATCTGTGAGAATTACATCGAGATAATGCCTTCATCAATAAAACTTCTCTTGGATTATTCAGCACACTTATATGAAGCACGTAAATATTTTGAAGCGTTACGCGAACAAAAGCCTGCTTTTATTGATTTCCTTTCACGTTGTTCACATACACATTTCAGTAAACGTTTGGATTTGTGGCATTTCTTGGGTAATTCATTCTTGTAGTGTTTTTGTATAAGATTGTTTTGTGAGTAAAGTCATATGCTTTTTTGCATCTTGCAGTTGACAATTATTCTTAGTTATCATGTCGATAATTCTAATATTTCTCAATTGGTTGGCTATATCATTGTTGCAAATTCAAGTTTATATATATATATATATATATATATATATATATATATATATATATATATATATAGCTGGGTAATTTCCGCTCTTAAGTAAAGGCTTAGAACATTAACTTAAATAAAGTTATAAAGTTGGTCTAATACCGGGTAAGATCCTATAGCCACAAATAACGTAGTTTCTCTATCATCAAATCAAGATTTGGAGTTTAGATTATTAATGTAGTAGATAATCAATTTACTAATGAATCTCACTTGTAGGGTATCTATATCTAGTAAGTGCTTGTACACCTTGATAGATTACAAAGTTACATATTACCAAGAGTATATATATATATATATAGTACTGGAGAGCGAAAGATTGGAACATTTGGTTAGACGATTAAACCTTGGGAATTTGTAAAATTTGTATTGATTACTACTTAACATCCAAATACCCTGGCACTGTCGAAAGTGTGGAGAGTCCATTCTCATGCAGTTTATAACCTCTGTCAGGTATGTCCTACTTATTATTACCTTCATGGGACAAGAGTTTTGTTTCTGAATATGAAAGTGTCATATATGAACAAAGAATAAGTGAATAGTAACTGCTAGAAAGTGTCTATGGACTATTACTACATATATTCTTATCAGATAATTATTATGTAACTAGATTACACATATATTCATATTCCTTTAATTATAAGCTTTCATTTGACAGATTAACTACTACCGTTATTCCAACCCGCACACAGTTTTGTAGTGTGTATTATTTTTGTGCTCATTTTTACCGGGTTTCACGTGACTTTACTACAGTTATTCTTTAAAAGTGTACTAAGAAAATTATCGGTCCTAAATATCCACCTTTTAAGTTTTTTTCAGACTATTCTTAGTCGACATCGGTGGATATCTTATCCAACCCTTTTTGGATTTAACAATCAATAGGTTTTGAAGGGTTTTATTCGTTTTTCGAGGATATAGTAAGAAAAACTACTGGAAATAGATCTGTCACTAAAATAGTATGTTACTTCACGTTTGTGGTGATTCTGTTTCGTATAAACTTATTTGCTTACTCCTAATTTTTTAAAGATTGTATAAAACGTGACATACTTCAGTATGTATGTACGTAAACAATTATGAATGTAAAAAATGCTCTGTTTGTTATCATCTTTTTGTATTTTGAGTCTGTTCTCACCTTCCTTTTCTATAGAATGTCCCAAAAGCAGACTGACTAGGTATCCTTTATTACTCAATCGTCTGATCGAATTGGTGAGTTTTCCTGATAAGTTCATTGATTGTTCATTTCTTTTCCATTATTTCCAAGATGCTTTCTGTCATACTACCACTAATAATATGTTGAGGGATGAAGGCTCGTAAGATTTAACAGATCTCTTATGTAATGATCAAGTATGCATGCTTTTATGCTGTTTATAACTAGTTTTTTACTGTTGGAATTGTGAATCGTTGTTGAAAATCTGGCTACTAACTACCTTCATTTTGCCTACGAGTTTGTTGAGAATAATGTTTCCTGCTTTGCTTCTGTCTACATCTTTTTCAGAAAGTTTGAAATTGAGACATAAGCTGCTTGAAGAACATCGTACCGTTAACTGTAATGTCTTGGTTTATGTAACGTTGTGCACATTTTATGCCATGATGCACAAAAAATTGTTGTTTGCAAATGATGATGTAAAGTAGCTTTTTCTTCGGAATAAAGACGAATACGAATTTATATTTACATTAATCAATAACCTAATGATTTCACATGATTGTAATTGTATCACCTTTGTGGTTACCGTGTTGGTCAATGTTGGGTAACCGCATAAACGGGTTTGAATAATCTAAGGGATGTTCAGTTTATAACTTGGGATCACAATCTGAAATATAGTTGGTTGTGTTGGGTTAGCTGTTGTTAATTCAACATGTCTCTCCAACTAAATACTTAGAAGCCGGCCAAGTTAATGTTTTGAAAATTTATCTGATATCACGTGGGATCAAAATTAGGGTTTCCGTATTTCTTTTGAGCAGTTAGATAACGTGATAATAACTCCTTACCTGTGGTCTTACTTCTTGTCTTTCGTCGTTTCAGCATACCCTATGGTTTACTCAAGATATGCGATTTTATATATTTTAACATGTGACTTCTTTGTGTACCAAGCTTGAATTTGAATAAATGTATTATGCATAATGGTAGAATTCATAATGGTAATATAGTAATTTTTATTTACTTTCCAGACACCTTCAACCGATCCAGAACTCAGTCATTTACTCGTTGTTCGGTCTGCCTTCACCTTTATTATTGACGAGTTAAACCGTCGAGTTGGTGAAGCTATGCGTAATTTGTACTTAGAATGCATAGGATTCCATGGCAATTTAGAAGTAGGTTCTCCACTTGTCTAATGAAGGGTTTTTGTTAATTTTTGTTTTGTTTGTAAATGTTTGCTTTCTCAGGAAGCCAAAAATATTATCTATTTTGTAAGTATTTATTTATTTATTTAAACACATAAATATTGGTACAAGGAAGCACCAGATAAATATGTGCCTCACAAATCTCATTCGATTTGTGTGAGGGCTGAGATACTGCCCAGGTGCCCAGACTGAAGCAGGTGGTTTTCTTAGGGGGCCACACCCCGAGCCTTTGACCTTAATGTCTGATCCACAAGGCAGTGGAGCATCGTGAGGAGATGCAGTCCCATGGTAGCCGGTGATCAACGGTTGATTCGTACGCCATTTGTTCCCTCAGGATACTGGAGCCCATGTGCACCACTGGTTTGGAATCAGGGTTTTCCAACTCCCCTAGGTGAACTTTCCATGTCCACCAACCCGGTTAAAGCACCAGACATTCGCTTTTCGTCCTCTCACTTTCGTAAACAACACCGCCACGAGAAGGCAGTGAGTAGGACTTCCCTGACAGAGGCTATATATTCGCGTGGCCATATGAGAGCATTTCGAGAGGGAGAGGTGACTCTCCCCACTCTCGACCGTACCAGGGCATTTGGGGGCATTTTGTAAGTATTGTCAATCCGAAGTGTGAAAACATCAGGCTTGACAATTAGTAATATAAAACAAGTAAAACATCGATGTAAATATGTAAATTTGTAGGTGCTGCTGTACTCTCTGGTCACGAAGAAGATGATACTTCACACACAGGGGGTAGCTCTGGCATTGTGTAAAGACGCACATAGCACACTTATAGGATGGGAATCTCATGGACCCAGGATCATAAGAGCATCTTTCAAAACAAAGGATGGGATCACAATGAAAATTACCCAGTGTTATGCACTCATCAATGATAGCAATGACGATGACGAAGATCAGTTTTATGGGGGCTATAATCGATCGTAGAGAAGTGCCGAGGAAACGACCTGACCATCTTGCTAGGAGACCTAAACATCGAAATTAGAATGGACAATACCGGGTATAAAGATGTCATGGGACAACATGGATTGACTGGGAGAAACGAACGAGAATTGTGATAGATGTGCAAATTTATGTATATTCAACAACATGGTTATAGGCGGCAAAATATTCATCCACAAACGCATACACATAGCTACATGGTTTTCATCAGACTGCACTACAGAGAATCAGGTCGATCATATTTGCATGTCTAAAAAAATTCAGAAGATCAATGGAAGACTTGAGAACCAAAAGAGGAGCTAACATTGTTTCAGATCACCGCCTGATGATTGCCAATATGAAAGTGAAGCTAAAGAAGCACTGGAAAACTGGGGAAACAGCATAACAAAGGTTCAATGCAGTCTTCCTTCGAGATACCGAAAAACTCAACGATTTCAAGATAGTTCTCAACAGCAGGTTCCAAGTCTTACAAGATCTAGTGGGTGAAGAAACCAATATGGAGGGCGACTAGAAAGCGATCAAAAAAGCACTGACTTCAACATATCACGAGGTTCTGAGCCTCAAGAGGCACCATCATAAAGAATAGATCCCTTTATGAACTCTATACAAGATTCAAGAAAGGAAGAACAAGAAGACAACAATTAACAACAACCGAACAAGAACAGAGAAAGTCAAGGCATAAGTTAAATACACTGAAGCAAACAAGCAAGTGAAGAAGAGCATAAGAGCCTACAAGTAGAAATACGTGAAAGAACTAGCAACAACAGCGGAAAAAGCTGCAAGAGAATAAAATATGAAACAGCTATATGATACAACAAAGAAACTAGTAGGGAAATATAGTAAACCAGAGATACCAGTCAAGGACAAAGAAGGTAAGTCAATCACAGATTCAAGAACAAGAGAACAGTTGTGTAAAACACTGTTGAATAGACCAGCTCCATTGAATCCATCAGACATCGAAGCAGCACTTACAAACCTTCCCCCAGATGTCACTCCACCACTTACTTACTTACTTACTCCTGTTACCCCTCGTGGAGGAGCATAGGCCGCTCACCAGCATTCTCCATCCAACCCTGTCTTGGGCAATCCTTTCCAGTTCGTTCCAGTTGTTATTCATTCTTTTCTTATCTGCTTCTATTTCCCGGCGTAATGTGTTCTTTGGCCTTCCTCTTTTCCGCTTCCTTTCCGGATCCCAAGTAAGGGATTGCCTTGTAATACACATTGGTGATTTCCTTAATGTATGTCCGATCCACTTCCAACATCTTCCAATTTCTTCTTCAGATGGAGGCTAGTTTGTCCTCTCCCACAGAAGGCTGTCGCTGATAGTATCCGGCCAGTGAATATTGGGTATTTTGCGTAGACAACTGTTTATAAATACTTGTACCTTCTTGACGATAGATTTGGTAGTTCTCCACGTTTCAGATCCGTACAGTAGGATTGTCTTGACGTTCGTATTGAAGATTCCCACTTTGAAAATAGTTGACTGTTCTTTTGAGTTCCTTATGTTGTTCAATTGTAGAAATGTTGTCCTTGCTTTTCCAATCCTCTCCTTTACATCTGCATCCGATCCTCCTTGTTTATCAACGATGCTTCCCAGGTACCTCTTCTAGGGTTTCTCCATCAAGTGTGTTTGGGTTAGTGTTCTGTTAGGATATTCACAAGAATATCCCAGGGAGCATCAGTTCCCTCAGGATTACAGGTACACCTTGCTAACTAGTGCCAAGTAGCACGAAACCCGGGTCCAGGGTTTCCTGTTGACCACCTCCAACCACCATCTTTCCTCAGTTTACATAGTGCAAGCAGTGTCGAGCCACCTAGACTGGTGGCCACATTGCAACTCGATCAATAGCATTCGATCAGCACTAAGAAGGACCTGACATGCATGAGATTGATCACCACCCAGTGATCAATCAATTGTGATATGCCTTGTCTGTAAACCATTTTTGCTCTGCTGCTGACCCCATAAACAATTCTCATTTAACGGCTGTGTTCTGATTTATTGGAGTTGAGGAACAGTATTGGGGTCGAACTAAGATATCTGAATTGTGTCAATCGGTAGAAATTCGTGTAGTCCTATCGCAATACGTAATATTTGGGGAATTTATATTATTTGGCGACGGAGATTTCGCAAACAAGTTGCTGACTAGCTATGGATCCAGTTAAATCAGAAGAATTGTTCAAACAACAGCTGAAGCTGATGGAGATGCTCACTCAGACGCAGATTTCTTCTTGTACACCAACAATCCCTCAATCAGTCGACGGTATTACCAGTGGTATTTCAGAGTTTCTTTATGATCCTGATGCCAATATTACAGTTGATACCTGGTTCAAACGTTATGAAGATCTTTTTAAAGTCGACCTTGCTGACAGAGATGATTCGTGGAAGGTGCGTCTTCTCCTTCGAAAACTTGGTCCATCAGAGCTTGATAAGTATTGCAACTTTATTCTACCGCAGAACCCACGAGACCGTTCCTTCGATGCCACTGTTCAAACTCTCAGTCAACTTTCTGGTGACCATCATTCACTCTTCAATACGCGTTATCGCTGTTTAAAACTAGTCATAAACGAGTCCGATGACTTCCTAACCCATGTTGGCATTGTCAACCGTGAGTGCGAACGGTTCAAGCTCAAATCCCTTACCGACGACCAATTCATATGTAGTCTTCAATCACCCAAATTCTCCGACATCAGAACTCGATTACTAAACCGCCTTGAACAAGACTTTACGCTAACACTCAATGCAATCGCCGACGATTATCAACGCATTGTCAACCTGCAGCGTGACACCACTTTGGTCCAATCTGGGGGCCAGGGTGGTTCCGAAGTTCACGCTGTCCAACGTCAGAACAAATCTCGACATTCTGTAGTCCTACGAAAGCCAGTGCTTCTTCTTTCTCTAATCACTTTAGACCGGTTCACAAGAAGCCCCCCTCTCCATGTTGGCACTGTGGAGCCTGGCATTATGTGAAATTTTGTCCATTCAAACAGCAGCTGTGCGATCGCTGTCATAAAGTTGGTCACAAAAGCGGTTTTGCCAATCCCATCGACCCGATAGCCTTCAAAATGCACAGACGCAGCATCATTTTCCTAAAAAGCCGGTTCCCTCATCAGGAAGTTTAGCAGCAGTCTTCCACACCCATGCCGCCACGCGACGCAAATTTCTTACCCTGTCAATCAATGGTCAGCCAGTTCGATTGCAGTTGGACACTGCATCAGATATCACTGTTCTGTCGAAAGATACTTGGCGAACCTTGGGTCAACCTCCCGTCAAACCATCTTCGCAGACAGCCGTTAGTGCATGTAGTGGTCATCTCCGACTTCATGGTGAACTTAAGTGCTGTATTTCGTTCAGAGATACAACCTTCAACGGAACGTGCTACATCACCAAATCTCCTCTCAACCTTCTGGATTTAGATTGGTTCGAAGAACTTGGTCTTGCCAATCTTCCTATCAGCACTATCTGTAATCAAGTACAAACTCCTGCTACTACACAACAGCATGCTGCAGACCTCCAAAATCGATTCATCGAACTCTTCCAGCCTAGATGCATGCTACGAACAGTCCATAGTGCGATGGCACCCAGGCGAGTAACCCGGCAGAGTCCTCGAATGCAGAGCACTCGAATTCCCTACAAAGTTTGTGCGGAAGTGTATGTGCGGGACTATAGACATAGGTATGATAGATGGATAGAGGGTTAAGTCGCAAAGAGACAGGGGAAGGTCATGTATGAGGTCAGAGTAAACCAAGAAATCTGGACCAGGTATCATAATCAACTACGGCCAAGAGATGCCAAAGAAAAAGTTGAAAATATTAACCGAGTTCCCCTCGACTTACTGCTGGATTATCTCGAAAGAAGGCTGTATTGAACCTTTGTGATGCTGTTCCCCCAGTTATCTAGTATTTCTTTAGATTCACTTTCATCTTGGCAATCATCAGGTGGTGACCTGAAGCTATTTCAGCTCTTCTCATGGTTCTCACATCTCCCACTGTCCTTCGGAATTTTTTGTTGATACAGATTTGACCTATCTGATTCTCTGTGGTGTGGTCTGGTGAGATCCATGTAGCTTAGTGTATGCGCTTGTGTGGGAATATTGTGCCGCCTATAACGAATTTGTTGAATGCACATAGATTTGTAAATCTCTCCCCATTTTCATTTCCCTCTTCCAGTCCATGTCGTCCAATTTTATCTTCATATCCAGTGTTGTCCACTCCAACTTTAGTGTTTAGATCTCCCATCAAGATGGTGAGGTCATTTCTTGAGCACTTCGCCATGATTGATTGAAGCCTCGAGTAGAACTGATGTTTGTCGTCGTCGTTGCTTTCATTGGTGAGTGCATAACATTCATTGTGATCCCTTACTTTGTTTTGAATGATGCTTTGATTATCCTGGGTCCATGAGATTCCCATCCTACAAGTGCATTTCTTGCTTCTCTGGACAGCATTAGAGCAACTCTCTAAGTGTGAGGAGCATTTTTCCCTTTGTGAACGGAGTACAGCAGCATCTCTCCCGTACCTAGTTTTTGTTGTCCAGCTTGTGTTCAATGGGTTTCGCTGATTCCGAGTACTGCCAATTTGTATCTCCTCATTTCAATCGCTATTTAACTGTTCTTCCCTGTCTCCCACATTGTCCGGACGTTCCATGTACCTATAAAAAGTGTTGCTCTGGTTGTTAGAAGGTGCATCGGTCTCGTGACTTCCGAAAAATTTCGGCTTTCTTCATGAAGCATCATAATTCGTCCTTCAACTCCCAGGGCAGAGTTTAAATGGTTTGAATTATTTTTTCTGGTTAGCTTTTTTAGCGAGTTAGTTTTTCTACGGGATGGGGTTGCTAACCCCATGCCCAACCCTCCTCCTTCACCCCGGCTTGGGACCGACAGTAACTCTAGAAGAGCTACAGGCGGAGTTGTCACTCCACCAACGGTCAAAGAAATCAGGATGGCCATCAGACAAATCAAGAGTGGGAAAGCAACAGGACCTGAAAACATACTAGCTGAAGCACTGAAGTCAGACATCGAAGCAACTGCAAAGATGCTCCACATCCTATTTAGGAAGATTTGGGAGGAAGAACAAGCTCTACAGACAGACTGAAAATAAGGATATTTCATCAAGATACCAAAGTAAGGAGACATGAGCAAATGTGAGAACTCTAGAGGCATCACACTACTATGAGTACCAGGAGAAGTTTTCATCAGAGTGTTGCTAAATCGGACGAAAGTTTCAGTAGATGCCCAGCTTCGACATCAACAGTCCGGATCCTGGTAGTATCGGTTGTACACAGATCAAATCGAGACACTACGGATCATCATTGGGCAATCAATTGTATGGAACTCGTCATCATACATCAACTTCTTTGACTATGAGAAAGCATTTGTTTGTGTGGATAAGAAGACTTTTTAGAAACTTCTTTGATGTTATGGTGCACCTGAAAAAGTCATCAACATCTGGAATTCATACGACGGACTACACTGAAAAGTTGTGCATGGAGGACAGCTGACAGTTGCATTCGAAGTGAGGACCGGAGTCAGACAAGGCTGCTTTCTCTTTCTTCCAGTGGTTGATTGGATTATGAAGACCTGGACATCTGAGGCGAAGCACGGAGTACAATGGACATCTTGGATGCAGCTGGACAATTTGGACTTGACAGATGTCTCAACACTTCGATCCCATACACATGAACATATTCAGGTCAAGACAAGCAGTATAGCAGCAGCTTTTACAGCAGTATGCCTCAACATGCACAAGGGAAAAAGCAAGATACTGAAATGCAAAATGAAGAACATCAAACCAATCACATTTGATTGAGAAACTGTGGAAGAGATGGAAACTCTCCTTACCTGGACACTGTCATCGATGAAGAGGTAGGATCCGATACAGACACAAAGACAGTGGTTTGCAAAACAAGGGCAGCACTCCTACAGTTAAAGATCATATGGAACTCAAGATAACTGTCAACCAATATCAAAGTGAGAATCTTCAATACTAACGCCAAAACAGTTCTGTACTGAGCTGAATCGTGGGGAACTACCACAACAATCACCAAGAAGGTGCAAGTATTTATAAACAATTTTCTACGCATGATACTCAATATCCGTTGACCGGATACCATCAGCAATAACCTATTGTGAAAGAGGACAAATCAGTTTCCAGCTGAGTAGAAAATCAAGGAAAGACGCTGGAGATTCACTGCAGAAATCGTCAAACTGCGTCACGAGGGATGTGCTAACTTGGAATCCTGAAGAGAAACGGAAAAGAGGAAAACCAAAGAATACATTGCGCCGAGGACCGGAAGTATATATATATATATCCATAGTAGTATAGGAACATTAAACTTTTTAGTAGTCATTCTATAATACTATTAGAGTAACTTTTTAGCTTATAAAATTGATGACGAAGATAACGTTTTTTGGCATTATTGGGTTCATATGTTAATTTATTTAGAAAAGTGCATATCCCAGCTTGTATTTATGAAAGTGTATTTTCATTGCTGATATCATGGATTGATCTTAGGGTACCATTGGGAACCAAAGTCGACTGGACATCTGTTTTGTTTTATCATGGGACTCAGGAGCTTCAGATATCTCAGCGAGCCATGAAGCTTTAGACCACTGAGCTTGCCTTCAGTGCCGTACATGTCTAACTTTTCACCCTATCTCTTGGAATTGCCTCTAAAAATTAATCATCAGTAAATACTTGATTAATATTAGCGCAGAGGAATTTGTTTAGACGGTTGAATTTCCAAAGTTTAAGTCAAGGTTTACAACTTGGTCAACGCATTAATTTCACAAAACTTTGTAATCTCTTATCAATGTAATGATGTAATTGATAAATTCGTTTTTATTTCCGTCTCTGTATATATACCACCTTAACTTTGTATTACCAAATTTTTTTTAACACCTTAGTTACAATACAAAGATATGGTATGTCATCAAAAATCACTATTATTGAAAGGCAGTCTGCATACTGATATTGGAGAAGTAAGTAATGAGTACATTTGTAACTACTGTTGCTTTATGAACTGGATACCCAAAAAATACTGGTCAATTAGATTGAAATAAATATCATATTTGTTGAAATCTATGAAAAAATCAATCAGATTATTAAATTTTAGTTGGATATTTTAAAAAATAACATTATATTTTCTTTAACCCTGGCTACATACGCCATAGATTTTTCTTATTTCCCCATAACATTTTGATAAAATACAGTTTATATTTTGACAAATAAGCAGGTATTTTTTTATATAAATGAATCGTTATTACTGACGTTTTAATGATCTTTAGTGAATTGTGGATAAATTTTCTGATATTTATGTCATTGACATTAAACGGCTTAGACACTGCTTATCAAATGCCGCAGACAATGAAAATGCTCTTATGTAAAGTAACCCTTTTACACTTAATAGCCTTGATTGAACTAAGCACTTTGAAGGTACTATGTGGTTGCTGTCATATGAACTTGTTGATTGTATTGGTTAATGTAATTGTTAAAATGTCTGCATTACTATCTACTTTGTCATTATTATTATTTCGTCATTTCATTCATCATTCAACTTGACTGCTCGAAGTGTTAGTGAATGAGATAGAGTATGAATTAAGTTTCTTAATGATCCAACAGTTAAAACATTATGTCATGCTTGAAAAAATATGTGCTAAATACTTTGAGATCGGTAGCTTGAGGATTAGAATATTCGGCTGTCAACAACCGAGTCTCAGGCTCTAAACCGGTTCTACCTATTTCAGTATAGACAACCGTTAACTATTATCAGCTGTCACTCAAAAATATGTAGCTTACAGTCAAATGCATTGAAGTACTCTGTAAATGAATTGCATTCAAACATGTAATAATCCAATCGCACTTAAGAGAAGTAACTTTTTTGTTAGGTTCATCTAGTCGTCTTACGACACTTACTTTGATTATTGATATTGAAATAAATTCTTTGATGAGGATATGTATGTAGATATTACATTTTGCTTCTGTAAAAAGTACATGTGTTTTTCTTAATTATTGCTTTTATTCTTTCCTTTGAAATTGTTAAAAATTAAAGAACACATTTTATTCAGTTGTTCTCCTTCACTATTGAATATGTTATTTAATTTAAGGGTATTTTATTACTCAAACTTTATTTTTGATTGTTACAAAACATCTATTGGTCTTATAGCATTGCCATTCATATTTATATTATTGTAAATGTATCAATTATCGCTCTCAAATATATCATCAATGATAGGGATTGCTAAGATTGGTAAACTGTTTAAAAAAGAAACAAACGGGCACGAACAGTGATAGATTTTTGCACTTTGTTAATAATTTCGCCACTTGGATTTCAATGCTGTGAGGTGAGCTAACCCTATCATTTTTTTCCTGTCTCGCTAGAGTAAGGACACCAGTTTTACCGTTGAAGTGTTCACACCGAATAATTTACTGTAACATAGTTTCAACTTAACTGATATTGATGTAATTCTCATAAGTTGTAATTTGAGACTGCACATCCTCAACATCTCTTTTAATAGCGTGATTCTCTTGAGCTCACTTGGAACTGAACCGTATGCTGCTGTTGTCTTGTCAGCTATCTCCTAGGACGTTGATCTACTTGTGCTGGAGGTACCATCTTTATTTCTTTTAGAGTCGTTCAGTGGCTGTGGTAGATTGAAAGCATCTACTGATGTTTCCAGAGGCAAGTTGCTTGTTGTTAAACGCTCCTATAATACGCGTCTTCGTAATGGATTGAGATCTGTTTATTTGTCCGTTCCTACTGCTACCTCATACATTACCTGACCTAGCCTTTGTTTCACATTTCCCTCTATCCACGTGTCGTGCCTCGTTCTTTTATCCCGGACGAATACAAGCGCTCTGATTTCAAATGCTGATATTGTTTTTTTACAAGCAATGCTTTTTGGTAACAGGTAGCGAGTTCTAAATCTGTGACTCATAAAGACTTCCGTTGGAGATTTCCAATTCGCGTCGTTTGGTGTAGTTCTATGCAATAACAAAAGATTGTGTAATTCATCGATGAGGGCCCCTTTTCTTTTTGATTTTAGCAATGCGCTTTTAAAGGTATCAATAAACCGTTCTGCTTGTCCGTTTGAATAAGGATGGTATGGTAGTAAGTGAATGTGGGATAAGTTTTCGGGGGCAGAACTTTTGGAAGTGTCCTGAAGTTAATTGTAATCGAATATCTGACACTGATATCTGGGACTCCGTTGCGAGAGAAAATCTCTGCCAGTATCTGGAGGGTTGCTGTTGCTGTAGGTGGGACTACTGGAAGAATCTCTTGCCATTTTGAGGATGTATCGACGAATGCCAAATATGTAATGCTACTGACTGGTCCTGGAAAGTTTGTGTGGATTCTGTAACATGAATCTTTGAGTAGTTGCCATTAAACTGAGGGCACCAGATTGTTGAGTTTTTTTGCTTCTTGACATTTAGCGCAGCCGTTCACAAAATGTCCAATTTATATGTAATAAAATTTGTTTATGTGTTTTGATCCGAGTTGCCATGCCACTTCAACACAAGATAAAATCAACTTAATAAGTACCAAAGAAGTCATAATTGTTATTGTTTCAATGATACTATGAAAGACTAAGCATTCAAAACCAAGACATTAGCAAACTAAGTGTGTTGTAATCAGTCTTCCATATGATAATCATATTAATAAGATCCTATTAATCTGGTACTTATACCCTTAAACGAGAACTCACCACTTGGTGCTTCAACATAGACTGACAGTTCATTATTAGTCGATCCTGCTTTACTGCATTTTTTTGAAACAATCTAATGATTGTTTGTGAATAATAAGCTTTGATTGATACGCTATTTTGTAACATGTTTACAAAATATTTAATATCTCGGAAAATAAATGCCTCAGGCAATTCACCTGAAATGTTTTCCAGTTTTACGTATTTTACAAAACGTTTACACACGGGGTGTGTATTATAATTACGTAATTTCTTCTATCTTTTATTTGAGCGCTGTTAACCTATTTATACCGGTCTCCATTGCTATCATTTTAGTTTCAATAGTGTTCATCAAAATATTCTGAAGTACTTATGAAACTTCTCCAGATTCATTTGTTGAAATCTTCGCATTTCAGGTAACCGTTTTTGTTTTTCCTCAAATAATGCTTATAACATTTTCTGGACCCGATAATAATAGTCGACTAATATCACGTTGCTATTATGGTAAATTATCACGTCAAATCACCAAGCCGCATGTTATTACTTCATCTAAAAACTCACCAATTTCACTTGTTTCTCCACAACCGTCTATAATATCCTCTGTGAGTACACGAGTTTATGGTCATCGATGGTCTTTGTTATCCATTTTAAGGACTCGTTCACCACCTGATTTGGGAAATGCTACGCAGACATCGTTTAACTCAGGAAATCGACCTTCCAAGTGTGCACGATTATTTCGACGTTTGTCATCAATTATGACATCATCACCGTCGACAAAGTCGGACGTTTCCAGACCTATCGCAACAGCGTCTTTCACACCAACTGATGAAACTGTCAGTCTTGAACGATTTCGTATTTGCTATCCGCCTTTAATATTAAAAGATTATATTTTGGAAGATATAGCTGATGATAGTATTCCTTCAACTATATTGAAATTTCCTTTTTCCACAGAAAAAGCTCGTGAGTTTTTTTAATTTCCGTAGTTTGTTTCTTGTTTTGCTGTGCTCTGTGACTGGTAACAGCATAATGTCGAATAAAAAGGTCTGGAATCAAACCGACTAATGGGTAGTCAACCATTTTAACTATGATATTATGAATAGAAAGATCCTTATTTACTTCAATTTAAATCACGTAAAACTACTATCTACCATTAGATCAATGGTGTGATTCTTATGGATTGAATCATGCTGTTTATACTTATCAAATCTACTTTTTTGCATAATAGCAATGTATTCAATAAGCAACAAATTGATGTTGAAGATTTAACATTATTCGTTATTAATGGTAGGTAATTAGGGGCTGATGAAATGTATTTTTCAGGAAATGAAGAACCTTTTTTATGTTGGTTACAAGTGTTCAGTTAGTCTAAAATATTTTCGTAGTTATTTTAAATTGATCATGTATACTATTCTGTCCTATATTACAAGACGTCATAAATTCCTTATTTGACAAGTATTGATATACAACAGTGTTATCCCATTTAAAATGTTTTAGATTTTTGGCAATATATTTGTCCCATTTTCTTGTCCATTACTTAAAAGACACAGAAGTTAGGCTCTTCACTCCCATAATTGTTTCACGTCTTATTAGAATCGTGTGCACCGACGAACTTCTCAATGTCAGTTCACTAATAATCAGGCTTATTGAAAGGAATAACAGATTATATGTGTTCAGTATTCTCATCAACATGGTTGGTCGACAGCTATCTTGACTGTAAGTTATTTCTGAGCTCTTTGGATCCCTTACTAAAGTGCTTGGTCCGATTAAAAGGAACTTCATACTTCAATGGTTTATCTTTATGAATAGCCGCAACATTTCTGAATTTTGAAGAGTTTTCTCTCAAAGAAAATTAATATATCTATCGGTCTACTTCGGAACAACTTATTATCTTTACCTTTACACATAGAGTATTTTAGCTGATAGTTAAACTTTTGATCTAGTTCGTGATAACTGTTTAGTGCTCATTTCAGTTTTTTTTCATAGTTTTTGTCTATAATAACTTAAAGGTTATACAGTGTATATATATCTTTCTTTCAGATCAAAATTTATTCAAACTCTCTCCTTATGAACATAGTGTAAAACGAAAATCTGGAAGAACTTCAGTCAAACAATCCGATCTATTACATTCATACGAAAAAATTATATCAAGAAAATCTCGTGAAATAAAATGGTTTTCTTCGTCATCATTGACTAGTAATAGAACTTCATCGTTGTTACGCAAATCTCCAAAATCAATATCTAGAGAGTTTCTATTTCAAGCATCTAGCCTACAGGATAAAAAATTTTGGATTACTACACTGACACCACTCGTACACAGTTTTTATCAAAGTGAATCATGCAACGACTTGATTTTAGATTAATTTCAAAGAGACGACAATTGTTTGACTGGTTGTTGAATTTTTCTTTTTATCTTAGTATTTTGTATTCTCGTTTTATCATCGCTATTTAAGAGACTGAGTGAAATTTTATTCCCGTTTATTTTTTTATTTTCTATTTTTGTGCAATCGGTCCTCTCTCACTTTCACCCACACTTTATTCCTTTCAAAAATTGGACATAATACTGTTTCTTTTTGTCTTCAGTGATTTTCTTCTTGGCAGTGTGTATGCACAGTGTTTGTTGAAAATACGAAATACAATCAACGTATTCATCTTTCGCTCAAAAAACATTAATATGTCAATCATATCATTTCACTTGTAGTCTTTCATATTCTTAAGTGCAGGTATGATTTCACCTTATCTATTTATCAATTTGAATAATTCGAGATTTTCTAATACAACACTATAGTTATTATTATTATTGCTCGTAATAATAATCATAATAATATGCATCGTATTTTCTACTGCACCCATTTTCCTAATTATCCTCATTTTGTTGGTGAAAGATATGGTGAAGGCGATGAAATGGAAGACACAAGTTGTCCTCTATGTGGTCACTGTGTGTTTATGTCTGTATGTACTTATTATGTATATATTACTATACCAGGTTATGTTACCACTAGATAATGTGAAACGGAAGGCAAGCGCAGTACTATTAAGTGAGGTACTAAAGGAATCCGAACAAATTATATAGTTGTATTGTAAACAGTTCATATGTTATTTTATTGATGACTTATCCACTTTTTGTAGACAGTTCAGCCTTAATTCTTACAATTTTATGACTGTTGTAATCTTTTGTGAGAATACGGGGTTGATTCGATGAGTTATCAAATTTACAAATGAGCAGTTCTCTCTTCGAACCGAGCAACAAGAATAATATTCAGTAACAATTTATTTCTCTCATTATTTATTTTGTGGTAGTATTATCACTCACTCAAGGCTCCTTGTCTCATTCTTACTTTCCAGTTCCGTAGTTATAAAGCAAAAGGATATATGAAGCAATGTGTGATCGAAATTTACACACTTACTGGTGATAATAAGCTTTTTACTGACTACTTAATATGTGCATTGATTTATAACGCGTGTTTTATACAGTCCATCTAATAATTTAATACAAAAAATTAAACGATGTTTTAACTGAACGTCGAACATACACCATCAAGTGCGCGAGTTTAAATGTTATTTACTTTTAGTGCTTAGTTATAGCAGATAGTTTGAAATTAATTTATCACGGAAAGTAGATTAATTGTAGGAATTAAACAATTCAGGTACTTACATCTGCCAGTTAGTTCATTTGGGCGACCACGTGAAAAAAAATATTCTGAACGAGTGATGGGAAAATTGTTAGAATGAGAATATCAACGAAGTTAGGGGTTGTTGAGTAAACAGTACTTTCAAACCACTTGCATGAATACTGGAACTCTGGTGTATTATTACATACCAATTTTATTCACTATGCCATTATGATGTTTTTATATGTTAGTGACACATCTGTTATTGAGAACTGTATGTTGTGGATGCTGCCTCTAAATACAACATATGAAATCTTAATTTTGCTTGTAGTGATTTCCATCCAGTCAACTTTAACGTGTTTCGTTGTATTATTCAGAGTAAAGCCTATTCATTAACTTTTTAGTGTACATCAGCTGTAACTGGTTATTTGATTCTAAATGCATTATCCGTGCATTGATTACCTCACTATAGTTTTGTGTCCAGCGTTAATTATGTAGTCGATAATGCTCAGTAATCAAAGATTATTGAATTGATACATAACTGAATTAAATTGGTTGTAAATCTTAATCTGCCGTGATCTCTTCCAATAAATCTTAACACTATTTGTCTTTTTGAGTAGCTAAAACTTGAAAATAATTGTTGTGTATGTTATAGCAGTTATCCTTAGAGCTATCACAACATATCCGGCTCCATAACCGTATATTTAATGTATCAGTGTTTTAATAAGGAACTAGCATTTAGAAATAAATAATTTCTTTTCAAGTTTGCAGTTTATTATAATATAGTTTTCCATTTTGCTATTTCCTTACATATTAACATATTTCCATTACATTTATTTGTGTACTGTTGACTAGATATCAACAAGTTATGTGGATAATCTCATTATTTAAAAAAAGCAAGACATTAATTATCCACTAGTAATTATTTAATATTTAAAATAATGTACAACCTAAAGCTTAAAGAAGCACAGATAAGAATAAGATTTCATGTTGTTTTTAAATTGCAAACAAAACAAGTTTCACAGAGTGTAAAATGTACAATAAAATTAAAATAGTTTCAAACCTTAATCTTAATGTCTTTTGTCTATTTCTTACTCTATTGTCAAATTGGATTTCCGAAAAAATCATTTTTCCAGATGTAACCATTTTGGCCGATTGTTTTGCCAATGTTATTTCACTAAAAAAATTGAAATGAAAAAACAAACATTTAATAATAATGTATTAACATTTTCAAATTATTTAATTCACATTTTATTTTGAATTCACTTAGTATTGTTTGTTTGAATCTTCCCATTGATGTTTAGAACTGCAACTGGTCAGTCTCTTATTGGCATATGTGCATACTGTGCGTGTTGCCTTGATATAGCCTTAATTCATAAGCATTATAAGCAAAGATGAATAGTGGCTAGTAGTGGAATCTAGGACTCGCGTTTCGCCCTATTTGGGACTCGTCAGCTGGATGTAGCTGCATCTCAGATTTGATGTTCACTCTGAGACTCGAACCCAGTACATTTCGCTTCAAACTCCATCGCGTTATCCACTTACCTACTGAGTCCTGATAGCCACTTGCTTGTGCAATGCGGGGAGGTTTAAATTCACCTAGTATTGTTTGTTTGAATCTTCCCATTGATGTTTAGAACTGCAACTGGTCAGTCGCTTATTGTCCATATGTGCATACTGTGTGTATTGCCTCGATATAGCCTTAATTCACAGAGTGAACACGCGTCCTGCATTCCACTGCTAGCTACTATCCATCTTTGCTTATAATGCTTGTATACTTTATTTTGGCTTTTATAAAATATTATAATGATGAACTTATAACTGTAGAATCTAACGATGAACAAAACAACAACAACAATTGTTCTTTCAAATATTCTTCATTTTTTCAATAATGTGTTAATATAAACCTGTGAACTAATTCAATTAATTAACTAGGTAATAGATTTTAAAAAATTTATGAATTTTTCTTTGCCGCTAATTTGAACTATTCCTCCTTTTTTACATTTTTATTGTCTTCTCTTTTTTTCTCTTCATTAATTTGTGTTGTTAATCGGCTTAATAAATTAGATTGTAAAAATAAATATTAACAACTATTAATTATTGTTTACAGCTTCATAGATTGACTTGTTTGTTTATTATTATTATTACTACTACCATGATTATATTTTATTATTATTATTGTTAGTAGTAGTAGTAGTATTGAATTGTGTAATTCTATACATGTTTCATGATTTATGTATGTATATAGGCATATATTAGAGTAAGATGATATAATGGTTTGATTATTCCTAATATTATTGTTGGGAAAATCATATTTATTTATTGTTTTATCTTCTTTTCTCTTCGTATTTTTATATCTAGGGTGTGATTACCACCTCTGATTAAAAGCTGGTCAAGAAATATCACCGATTGTTATTACATAAATTTTGTATTTATATTCATATATATATATATATGTATATTCATTTCAGTGATGCCTACAATAAAAGGGTTCAAATTACAAGATAATCGGACTTTTATTTAATTATTTATTTTTGTGCAGACGTACTAATGAACGAATATCACTTTTATAGAGTTGAGATCATGAGTCAATTGAAGCTAGACCACCATGGAAAACCTGAAAGCACTGGACGGCCGTTTCGTCCTATTATAGGACTCCTTAGCAGTGCGCATCCACGAACCCACTCTCGCGGGATTCGAACCCTCCTTGAGGTATTTCCTGGAGTTCTAGTGAGAAGCAGTAACCGATGGAGTTCAACCAGGTCTGTTGTGAGATAGGAACTCACTGATGACATTGGCGAATGGTTGCTCAATTTCGTGAATCAGTTGAAGTTAGACATTAACACCGTTGGATGCCAGCTCAGTGGTCTAGCTTCAATTGACTCATGATCTCAACTCTATAAATTACTAAAATCTCCACAAAACCCCTTCTGAGAATATCACTTTTATTTAATGTCGAGATTTCAATGTAATCCAATGTTTTTTTTTCGAAAATTGTTCTTGCTATAAACTACATTTCATAGGCAATGGTTACGTCCATAGGCAGACAAGGGGTGGGGCTAGGTAGATATCAAGAAAATAAATGAACTATTAGTTCACATAATCGATTAGTATTAACTAGAGAAGCACTGAAAACCAGAAAGCTCTGGGCATCCGTTACATCCTGGTATAAGATTCCTCAACGATGAGTTCAGTTCAGTCATGTAGAGTGTAAAATAATTACTCACCAGTGGGAGTGGAAGATGGTTACTCAGTAATGTGAGATGATTAGAGTTAGAAACCCAAACCATTGGATACCCAGTCAGTGGCCTAAAGGTTAAACACTCGTCGTGAGATCTGAACGTTTTGAGCTCTATTGTCGATGAGATCATCAACGAACACTGTTGAGGAGTCCCATGATACGATGAAACAGCCGATTAATGCTTCTCAGTTTTCAATGGTTGTTTAATTGCTGTTAGTTTATGGGGTCATTAAATCCAACAGTCTATAAAAATCTGTACAAACGATAATAATTAACAAGGGCAAAGCATTATAATCATACGTTATATTCAGTAATTAATTAAATTAGTGTTTTTGAAAACATCAGAATAACGTCTATTGAGATAAACCGATAACGTTTACGTATCTGCTCGCGTATACATATAGTTAAAATTACCTTTTATCTGCGTGATTCAGTCACGAAGTTGTCATTGTCGTCCGATACACCAAAATCCTCAGATAGGTGTTTGAATTCTATCATAAACTGTATCATC